GTTCCACTTATGAGTGAGAACATGTGATACTCAGTTCTTTGTTTCTGTGATAGATCACTCAGTATTATAGACTCTAAGTCCATCCAGGTTGTTATGAAGTTCATGATTTTGTCCTTTTTTATGGCTGCATAATATTCCATTGTATATATATACCACTTTTTTTATCCATTCCTCTTTTGATGGGCAGCATGGTTGGTTCCATGTTCTTGCTACTGTGAACAATACTGCAATAAACATACGTGTGCAGATATCTTCTTCATAGAGTGATTTGAGTTCTTCCAGGTATATTCCCAGTAGGGAGATTGCAGGGTCATATGGAAGGTCGATTTTTAGATCTTTTAGGAATCACCACACTGTTTTCCACAGAGGCTGTACTAGTTTACACTCCCACCAGCAGTGTAGAAGTGTTCCCTCTTCCCTGCATCCTCTCCAGCATCTGTTGTTTTTTGAGTTATTGATGATGGCCATCCTGACTGGAGTTAGGTGGTATCTCAGTGTGGTTTTAATTTGCATTTCTTTGATGACTAGTGAGGCTGAGCATTTTTTCATGTGTCTGTTGGATGCTTGTGCATCTTCTTTTGAGAAGTGTCTATTCATATCTTCTGTCCACTTTGTAATGGGGCTGTTTGTTTTTTTCTTTTCAGCACATTTGAGTTCCTTGTAGATCCCAAATGTTAGGCCTTTGTCAGATGTACAGTGGGCAAATATTTTTCCCAGTCTGTGGGTTGTCTCCTGCTCTCTTGATAGTTTCTTTGGCCTTGAAGAAGCTAACCAAAACTCTTAAATCAGCAAATGCTTTGAAGAAAGGAGACACCAAATGGTGGTCATTCTTCTGTTTCTCCCTTCTCCAAGATCTTGTCATCTTCTGCTCCAGTGCCTTTGAGTTCTCTGAGACTTCATACAGAGTCCTGTGATGTATTTTGTTCAGATTTTTGTGATATTATCAGTGGAACTTTTGGTCTGCAACAATCTAGTTCTCTGTTATCTTCTACTGCCATTTTGATGCAATGTCTCCTGCCCCCGGACACTTGCAGTCCAACAAATGTAACCACTTAGGTTGATAGTTGGATCCTACCTGGGAGTGACAAGTTCAATAATATCTCCTGCACAGTGACAGGAGTGGACACTCCTCTACTGTAAAAGCACGTGTGTACTTCTGAGTTCTAATATGCCTATGTCCACTCACCTCCTCCACTTTCACCTCCATGCCATTCCACATAAAATCACTTCCGCTGAAGTCCTTCCTTTCCCTCAGGAAGCCCTTCCTCATCCATCCACTTATTCTCTTTCTCTGTCAGACTGTCTTCTCCCTCCTCTTCTAGGTCACCTACAAGAAACAGGCCCTGGAGGAACAGCTGGCCCAGATCCTGCAGGACCAAGAAGCCCAGATGGACACTCTGCAGCAAGCCCTACAGGAGAAGGATGCTTTGTCTGAGGAGCGGTCCCAGCTGCTGGCCAAGCAGGAGGCTCTGGAGAGGCAGGGCCAGCTCGCAGCTGAGAAGGCAGCTGACCTCAGGTACCCAAGGACCAGGGCATTTATCACATGGCCTTACCCTCAGAGAATCTCCAGTGTGGCAGAGAACACTTGCATAGTGACATAGGACAGGGTGAGTGTGTATACGTGTAAGGTGGACTGAGTAAGAGGCAAACAGAGGCTTTGTGTTGCAGGAAAGCATCTAGAAGAGGTAAATCCAATGAGAGTCTTGGGGTCACTTCATGAAAGAGGTAGTAGCGTGTAACAGAAAATCAGTTCAAACCAGTGGAAGGCAGATGTGGAATACCTTGCTTGTGGATCTGAGGCATTCAGGATGTACCAGCTTCAGGCAAGGTTAAATCCAGGCACTCCCACAGTGCCCTCAGGATCCTGCCTCAGTGCTGCTTGACTCTGAGGAGATTTCTTTCCCAGGTAGTCTTGCCCCGAGAGGTGGCAAGATGCCCAGTGGCCACTGCAGGCTCCTTCCTCCAGCAGACACAGACTCTCCTTCTCACCACAAGGCCTGAGAGCCATCTTGAGTCACTTGACATCCCTGTACCAATCCTGGGAGCCAGGAGTCACAGGGCTCTGGTGGCCATGATTAGGTCACATGCCCATCCCTGGAACCAGAGGTAGAGTTAGCTCCAAGGAATCAAGAGGTTGATGGGGGGGTGGGGGCTGAAAGATCATCAAGGGCAATTTCCAGAAGTTAAAATGGACACTCATAGGCAAGAACAAGGGGGTGCCCATTGGCTGTTGCCTGGTGAGATGAACTGGTCCTGTGATCTCAGCAGAATTCCCAAAGCTGGTAGATTTTTGTAGTAAAGTTTTCCTCCTAGAAGTCCAGAATCTGAGGGGCATGAAAAACTTTGGGGTCCCAGATCCTTGAGCTTCTTCAAGTACACACCTCTCCTCCAAATAAAAGCATGTGCAGAAGTTGAAACGGAAAACCTGGGGAAGGCTGCTCTGGTCTGGTTTCTGCCCACACTCCCTCTTGGGTCCTGGAGACTCAGAAGACTAGGGTTGGAGGTCCCTTTCCTCCCTGCAGTGTCTGCTGCCCAGAACACAGGCCCTTGTCAGAGCCCTTAGCAGCCCTGAGTCCTGTTGTTGCAGCTCTCCTACCTCAACCCTGACCACAGACCCAGACCCAGACTTGTTCTGATGCTATATCTGCCCAGCATACACTCTGTGTGTCTGTCTGGTTGGCTCAGTGGGGCCAGGGGGTGTGGATGCCATATTTAATGAGCTCTCAGATCACATTGATGATGATTCGGTGTGGGAAGTCTTGCTGCAGTTCCTCATCTTTGATGAAACCTCCTCCCAGGTTCATTTTATGAGGGCAGACCTTACTCTTGAAGTCTTTGAGCCCCCTACTCCCAGGACCTGAAAAGGCAGCAACACTGGTGAATCAACTCTCTCAGTTTGTGGAGTGCTGGCACATTCAGATGAACCAGAGTCCTCACCAGCCATACCTCACACCCCATTCTTGCTCAGAGTACCCCATAGGGCGCCAGGCCTCTGTTCCTAGGGACTCAACAGTTGACTAAGTTGCTCTCGAGCTCCTGTGGAGAGAGAGGATGGACACACTCAGATTCCAATGTCTAAGCTGCAGAGACCACAACCCCTAGAGAAGACCAGGCAGGCATCTAGGAGGAGCGAGGCGTGAGGCAAACATGAAGGGAGAATTTTCTACATACAGAACTGGGAAGAGCATCTAAGTGGAGGGAATGCTCAGATGCAAGGAGTGGGGAACATGAGGGTGCCTACGAGGGGAAGGACTGGAACAGGGAGGCGGGCACTGTATCATATGCCAGAAGATGAGGCGTCCAACCTGAGTCCAGAGGACATCTCTTTCTGCAAATGTCAGGGAGCCCTAATGAAGGGAGCTGCAGTGACCAAGGGGATGAAGGAGAAACTGAGACAGAGCCTGGTCACAGCTGTCAAGGTCCCTGTGGCCCATGGCCTGCCTTGACCCAATCTGTTGGGATTATGCAGTTGCTGCTTGTGTGTTCATGTGAATATTTATATTTGAGTCTTCATGGTGTGTTCATGGATGTTGCTCAGCTAGTTTTGTTTTTTTTTCCCACTGATGTGCATCCAGCACAAGGCAGAACATAGTAACAATTACAATTTGCCAGTAATGGTTGGCTGGTTCATAGTTGATGAATTAATTGTCAGAAATTCAGGGTCTTCCCTACCTCTTACCAGGAATGGACACTGCTGTGTGTTGGTGTGTAGTGTTCTAGGCATTTTCTAAGCAATTGCATCTGTATGCACAAATACACCAAGGCAGCTTGGTGCATGATGAGCCAGACTGCTTGTGAAGGTCTAATTTGGCAGGTTGCTTTTGGATGTGACTCCTTCCATGTCAAGAGAATAGAGACTAGTTTCCTCATTCTTGTTAACAAATGCATGCTGTTCCAGAGACAAGATGCACCATAATTTCTAAAACATTCTTCCATTTACTGGCATTTCACCCAAGTCCAATTAATGCCCTATGAAAAACCATAGTAAGCATCCTTTGTGTGTACATTGTCAGAACACATGTGTTTCTACAGAACTGTCTTAGTCCATTTGTGTTGCTATAAATGGACTCCTGAGGCTGGATAATTTATTTCTTAAAAAGAAGTTTATTTGGCTTAAAGTTCTGCAGGCTGTACAAGAAGCATGGCACTGGCAACTGCTTCTGGTCAGGGTTTCAGGAAGCTTCCACTCATAGTGGAAGGTGAAGGGGAGTAGTCATTACATGGCAAGAGAGGGCGAGAAAGGAGGAGGTGCCAGGTTCCTTTAAACAATCAGCTCTCCTGTGAACTAATAGAGCAAGAATTCACTCATTACCATAAAGATGAAGACATTCGTGAAGTGTCCACCCCCATGACCCAAGCGCCTCCCATCAGGCCCCACCTCCAACATTGAAGATCAATTTCAACTTAAAATTTGGAGGGGAAAATCACCCAAACTATGTCAAGAACTGACACCTAGAAGTGGAATTGCTAGGACAAGGAAATGCACACTTTAAGTTTGTAGATTTTCCCCACCCTTTCCCCAAAAAATGGTCCTCACGCCCTTGCCAACACTGGATGCTGTCACTAGTTTAAGCTTTTGCTAATCTGATAAATGATTAGTAATATTGAATGCTTGTGATTTGAATCTTCCTGAGTACTAGTAAGTTTAAGTAAATTTCTTATGTTTTTCAACCATTTGTGTTTTCTTTGTGAATAACAGTCATTTTTCTCATTTTTCTGTAGAATCAGCTGACTTTCTGTCATTGATTGGTAGGAGCTCTTTGCATATGATGGCTATTAACCCTTTGTTTGTATATTTAATGCAGGTTTTTCTTCCACTCTGTCTCCTGTTTTTTAAGTCAGTTTGTGGAAACTTTCCTACAGAAACACTCCTCATTCCTATCTTTAAGTGTATTCAGCCCTGTTGGCTTTTTTATTTTTGTCCTATGACTTTTGTGTCTTGCTTAAGATTATAGAATGTCCATCTGTATTTTTCTACTATTTTTATAATTCTGAGTTGTTTCGCTACTTGTTTGTTTTCATTTCATTTCATTTCACTTTTTTAGTCCACCTGAAACATATTATTATGCAGGAGTCTACTCATTTTTAGCGATTCAAAATGAATGAGACGCCCTCTTGATTTTCTGACTTACTAGGCTGACCTCTCAGGCAGGATCTCATGACTGACTCACCTGTTGTTTGCCGCTCCCTGCAGGGCTGAAAGAGACTCCCTAGAGAGCAGCTTCCTTGAGGCCCAGCAGCTGGTGATGCACCTGCAGGCCCAGCAAAAGCAGCTGGAGGGAGAGGCCCAGAGCGCACGTCTGGCTCAACAGGCCTTGCAAGGTGCTCCACAGGCAGGATCCCTCTGCTCCTACCTCCCCCCAGACAGCCATGGAAGGGCTACTGGAGTGGATCTCAGTACCCATACGTGCTGCTCCCTCTCCCCAGTACTTGAAGGGGCACAAATGTGGGCCTGGAGCTGAGTCCTGAATTAGTCCGGCCACACTTGTCCATGAGGAATAGCATGTGTCCTGCCCAGGCTGCTCCTTGCGCTGGCCCAAGGCTCAGACCTGGGCTGTGGCCACAGGGTCAGCGTGTAACCTCCTGCCCCATCCCCATGCCCTTGCCCTTGCTCAGTCCACCCTGCTGTGTGCTGACCACCTGGTCCCTGAGCCTGGCCACAGGCAGAATAGGAGATTGCACTCCCCAGGGCTGTCACTCCATGGGGAGTCCAAAGGGCCCAGGGGTCCACGTGCTCAGGCTCCGCAGCCAGGCCCTGACACGCCTGTCACTCCACAGGGGAAATGGAACAGCTGAGAAGTGCCTGGGAGATCCAGGAGACAAAACTTCAGCAGGATGTGGGGCGGCTCCAGTGGCAGGTGGCACAGCAGGAACGGGATGCACAGCTGGCCTTAGAGAGCCAGGCACTGACCCACCACGAGGACCTGGCACGGCTCCAGAGAGAGAAGGTCGACTGGCCCGGGCCCACTCGCCACTTCCTAATAGCCTACCAAGCCCTAGAGAATGGCAGACCCTTAGGGAAGGGAATCCTGGGAGACCAAGCTTGGCGCACAGGTGCCCGGGCCAGGGGAGACCCAGCAAGGACCTGCTCACTCTTCACAGTTCAAGTGGGCATTCAAGTCCCTCTCTGGAGAACCCTGACATTGCACTGGAGCTTGTATTTGGGGTAGACCTCTCCTTCACAGAAGAGGCCAGACTGGGTGTTGGCTGGCCTGGTGCAGCTTGAGGGCCAGGAGGTAGAGGAGGCTTCATCCATCAGAACCATTCCATGGGTCACAGGCTCCTAGAGGCCTGGTCTGATGTATCTCTACATTCTGTGCGAGTGTCAGTGGCACACTGCAGAGAATCAGGGATGATTTTATAAACCGATAGGTAAATATGTAGGATGGCGGGGGCTGAGACCCAAAGAGATCTCACATCCAGCTATTCACCCATATACATGGCCATCCATCCACAAGCCCAAGGTGTCTATCTCACACCTGAATCCAACCATCCATCCATCCATCCATCCATCCAGTGTCCCTGTTGGATGACAAAAGGGGTGCAGCTGGCTGGACTGGACAGCCTCTGGGTTCCATCAGTCTTGGCATTCCATGAGCCAGGTCTCACCCAGAACCATGGATACCTGCTGGTCTCACGTGTCTGGACTTCACAACCCATCCCTTTGTCTCGGCCCAGGAGACCCTGAGTTTATCCCTGGCAAAGGAGAAGGAGGTGACTGCATGCTGGCTGGAGAAGGAGAAGGATCTGGTGGCAAAAAGTACAGCCGAGAGGGAGGCTCTGAAGGAGGAAATTCAGAACCTGAAGCAGGAGCGGGATGAGAGCCTCCTCCAACTGGAGCATGAGATGCAGCAGGTGATGGTGGAGCTAGGAGGCCGTAGGGGTACACAACTATACCCCACCTATCATCCCTGGCCCAGCTCGAGGGCAATATGGGGCCACCCCCCAGAAGGTGCAGTCTTTCCATGTTATTGCTATGGCAGCTTGGTCTTCCACAGCAGTCCTGGTGGACAGACATCTACCTAACTACCCATCCATCCATCTATCTATCCATATATACATACATATATCCATCTGTCCATCTGTCCAGCACTTGAATATCCTTCCATTCACTTCCATCCTCTCACCTGAATATTCCTCATCCTTTGCACACATCCATCTATTCACCCATATACATGGCCATCCATCCACAAGCCCAAGGTGTCTATTCACACACCTGACTATCCAACAATCCATCCATCCATCCATCCATCCATCCATCCACTTGACCATTCATCCAGCTATCCGTGCACTCAACCATCCATCCACATAACTATCTTCACTCACTTGACCATCTATCTGTTCAGTACTCACCCAGCCATTGATCCACTCACCTGATCATTCATCCCTCCATTAACTTAAAACATCCATCCATGCTCTTGGACATCCATCCACACAGCTGACAATCCACCCATCCATTCACTTAATATCCTTCTACCTATCCACAAATGCAGTTGTCCATCCACATATCCAGCCATTCATTCATGTGTCTGACTACATATCCATCCACCTGATCAGCCATCCAGCCAGTCATTCATCAATGTCTTCAACTCACTCGACCACCAATCGAAGCACACAACCACCAACCACCCACCTGACCATCTTTCCAGACAATGGCCCTATAAAAGATATCTTCTGAATCCAGGCTGTTCTACTATACCATGCCACCCTGAAGAACTCAGTGTTGAGTGATGGGAAACACAAGTAAACGTGCCCATATGTGCTGTCACACAGTGTGATAGGACTATGAAATGTTGATACAGATTACAAATTATAGTAGCTGGAGTAGCCGAAATTCATTGCCAAGCCTTCTGCATTTCATATGACAACACTCTGAGGTACATGCTCTAATTATCCCCATATTACAGGTAAGAAAACCAAGGTCCAGAGATGTTGAATCCCTTGCCAAGGTTGCATAGTACATCTGCTGTGCACTGAGACCTATGCTCTTCACTGCCTCATTAAGGGTTCTTTTGTCACCTCGGTTCAGGGCTGGACACCACTACTCTTCTTCCTGTGATGGAGGAAGGAAAGGCCTTAATGGAGGAATAGGAGGCTGCCAGGTAGAGTGAGAGAGGGCATTTACAGAATGTCTGGGAGTGGCATGACGCTCTGTACAGCTGCCAGGCTGCATGTGAGTGGGGACAGCAAGCAAAGAGGATAGAGGTATCACGAAGGGTCTCACACACCAGGTTCAGATAACAGGGAGCCAATGGATATTCTTGAGCAAGGTTGATATGATGAGGGTTAAGCAGAAGAAAGAATGGAACCAGGAGGCTGTGGAGAAGCTGAGGCAGGGTAACAGGTGGAAGAGACTGAGGGCTGAATCAGAGTCAGGCAAAGAAGGAGATGGGTAGGTCTAATGACCCTGGGATGTGGTGGTATTCTTTCTATTGGACAAGAAGAGGCTCAGTGGGAAGCAACACATCTGGGGAAGTGGGCGGTTAGTCCAGGCCCCCATGCAGCCCCTCACTCTCATCTGAGACCAACCACTGGTCCACACTGCCTGCTCTCATGAGACTATAATGGCAACTTCCTAATGGCCATGCTGCCCAGGGAGAGGGAACTCAGTCAAAGAAGAGCGCAGGCTAAGAGAATAGACAGATGCTGTACGCTAGTGGCTTCCCTGGATCCATAGTGTGGCCACAATAAATCTCAGCCCAGAGTTGTGACACAGATGATTAATCCTTGGGCCATTGATGCAGTGGAGCAGGTGGAATTTTCCTGGAGCTCTTTCCAGTCAGCTGCCTTTCATTTTGGGTAGCCTGTGTGGAGAAATAGAGCAGAGAAGTGGAGTTAGGAGATCCAATGGGCAAGTTCTAATGCTCCTCTGAGGTAACTGAGGACTTCAGTCACAAGATAGTCTTCAGAGGCCTTAGTTCCTTCTATAATGAAGAAGAGAAATTCTGTATGGAGCAAAAGAAATGGAACAGCTGTCCCAGGAGGGAGCATTTTCACTTTAATCCTCCATTCTTCTTTACCTACTGCATCTAAATTGTGACTTTCCTACATCTGTTTGCAAAGTGAAGTCCTTGCCCCAGTGAATGTCATAACTTCTAACTTTGATGAAGTTTTGCCTAAAATGTTAACAAGTACCCACTTGCTGTGTCCACTAGTGAGAACCAGGAAAGAAAGAGACAAGGCCCTGTCCTTGAAGACCTTAAAGTCCAGTGAGATGGCAAATTTATCAAAAGCTAATGGAACTTAGAGCAAATCAAGCATGGACTCGAGGAAAGGAGAGGACCAAGGGGGAAGCATTGCTGTTAAAGACTGTTTAAAATGCAGAAAGCCATTCTACGACAGTTCCCCATTTCAGCCTCTCACCTTCACTCTGCACCTCAGGGAACTATTGTCCTTTCCTTTTCATTCCTCTGCAATATTGACGTGACATTCTGACACTAATAACCCAGAATCAGCACAGACCTGACAGAACACTGTCCCCAACAATACTAACTTCACTTCAGACACCAGCTGCAAGTGCAGGGGTCTTCAGGTCACCCATACTACTGACCAACTGACTACAAGTTTGGAGTTTCCCATGATCCCCTCAGGCTCAATCATTCACTAGAATGATTCACAAAACTCAAGAAAACCCTGTACTTACTATAGCAGTTTTACTATAAAAGATATAAATTGGGGCCAGCCAAAAGAAAAGACACATAGGCAACATCTGGGCAAGTCCCAGACACAGCGCTTCTGTGCCACCTTCCCATGGAACTGGCACTTCTACCTCTCTGCACGTCAGGATATTCACCAACCAGGTGAGCTTCGGTGTCCAGAGTTTTTACTGGGACTTCACTGTTGTAGTATAATTGACTGAATAATTAGATGTGATTGAAATAAGTTTCCAGCTCCCCTTCTGGAGGCTGAAAGGTTAGGCTGATATCCTGTGGTTCACAGCCCCAACCTTCTAATCAGCAGTCATTCTGAGACAGACAGTCTCATCCTAAAACTAAGTAGGAGCCCACCATAAGTCTCCTTATTAGCATATGCTCAGGCATGGTCCAGGGGCCCAGCATGAATACACAGACCCTTCTCACTCGGAAAACCCCTGGGTTTAGAGACTCCCTCTACCAACCTGGGAAAAAGACCAAACAAATATTTTATTATGTAACATTCTTTACAATTGTTTGCAAATAGAAATATACAATGTTGCCGCCCCACCCCTCCCACACATACCTTTTAAACACAAAAAGTAAGAAAAGTCCATGCAATTTTCTGGCCTTTCTTTCTTCAACATATCTTGGCAGTCTTTCCACATCCTTGTGCTCAGAGCTTTGCTGTTCCCTGTCACAGCTGCATGATACATGTTGGGTGCATGGGTCTGCCTTTGTTTGGCTGCTCTCCTGTGGGTGGGCAACCTGGTTGTTTCTGGCTCTGTTGCCATTGCAGACAATGTGATAATAGTCATTGGTGATGCCGGGTATTCATCATCCTGCATGTGGACATACATGTCTCCGGGCTTCTCTCCCACAGTGAGCCTGGGCACAGAGATCATATACATTGGTGATTCTGCTAGTCATTGCCCTCTTGGAGCTGTGGTAGAAACACTACATTCCAGGCTGTGCATGAGATGGAGTATTGTCAGGTGTTTGGGGACCACTAGTGGTTCCTTCATTGTGTGCTGTAGGAAGCATTATCTGGAAGGAGGGGTGGGGAGGTGATTCATAAAGCCCCCTGACCTGAGTGGGGAAGAGCAGTATTTGGACAGGTGCAGGAAGGGGAGTTCCCAGACATGGAGGTAGGATGATGCTGGTTGGAGGGGAGGTCCTCAGGAGGGAAAGGGCTCAGGACTCAAGGGCTGTCTCTGTGGGCACTGCTTCCCCTCCCCAGCACAGGAGGTGGGGGAGGGGAGATGCTGCGTCTGGCAGGGTTTTAGCACTCAGCATTGTGCTGCAGCCTCTCATTAGAGAGTGGGTCTACCCTCTCCCCTGAGCTCCCCACCTCTCTCACAAGCACCCCCCCATCATGTCCAGGCCCTGTCTCTGAAAGAAGCAGAGCGGAGCCTGCTGAGTGAAGAGCTCATCAGGGCCACACGAGCGCTGGATCAGGTGCAGCAGGAGGCCCAAAGCCGGCAGGAGCAAGCTGAGGTGAGCTAGGGATGGGTGTTCAGCCTGGCCACATGCATAGCCCAGGAGGTGCTGGCAGACCCCAGCTGCACACCCCTCCTGCCTGGTCCCAGCAGTATGTCCCTTTCCATCCCCTGCCTGCCTGAGCCTCAGTTTCCTCCAGGTGTCTCCAGTTCTTCTACTGGAAGGGGACACTATCTCGGTGGGCAGGAAAGGCTAGAGTGAACCAAGCTGTGTCCCAGGTCCTGCCCATGGTAGCAGGCCATGAGTACCAGGACTCCACCTGGCCCAATTCTCCTTTGGCCTCAGGTTTGCCAGGGGCTAGAAACAGGAGGACCTGGCCCAGCAGACCATGAGCCAGCTGCAGCAAGAGGCAATGGGGGGAGGGGGGTCAGGGGAGGAGACCCAGGCCTGTGTCCCCTGCTGGCCACAGAGGTTCAGCCTTCCCTGTGTATGCCCCTGAGCCGCTCATAGCACAACCAGGGACACACACACAGGCCTCTCAGGACTCACCACCCCAGAGATCCCTTCCAAAGAGAAACTGAACTGGAGACAGCTGGCACTGCACCCGGGTTTTGGCCAGAAAGAACACCCACATGGAACCCTGAGCAGAGCCAGGAGAAAGGCACTGAGGGGCCAGGGCAGCCCCCCAGTAAACAACCACCCACTCTCAGCCACTGAACAGAGGCCTTCACATGCACGAAGGCTACCATAGACAGCCAGCTGGGGTTACCTGAGACCCCTGACTTTTCCTCTGAAGCCCATGTCCAGGGGACGGGGAAGACAGCAACAAATAAGGCTTGGGTGGGAGAGCTCCGAAGGCCCTGTGCCTCTACCCCGTGGGCAGGGCTGGACACCCACTACTCTCGCTGGTGGGTGGCCTCTGGCCTGCAGAACACAGAGGGCTCTTGTGAAGTGGTGCTAGGTCCTGTGTGAGTGATACAGACAAGGGACCCAGCTCACAGGGAGGAGGTGACCAGAGCACAGTGATAGGATATGAATCAGAGTGCTCAGGGAAGGGTCACCAATGGCTCAGGGAGTCTGAAAAGGGACTGCTTGCATCAGGGTCAGGACTGCTGTCCTGGGTGGTTGGCAGTGGGCAGGTCCCAAGTGAACACAGGTAGGTGTGTGCACCAGGCAAAAAGAGCAGAACTTCAAGGCACGGAGACATGGGTCCCTTCCTTTCGGGGGGATGGATGGGGTGGAGGACGAGGCCGGACCCTGCACTTCACGTAACCCAGGCCCTCTCTGCTATACATACCCCAATAGTTGGATCCGCCTCTGCCTCCTGCCTTCCATCTCCCACCACATCTTGGTGACCATGCTGCTCACTTCAGTGCCTTTCGCTCATTTTTAACTCAAGAGATTTTTTTTTTAATTCCACTCTGGTCCCTGGAGTATCCCAGCCCTGAAAACATAGGGTTAGATGCTCCACTGGCGTTAAACGAGTACTCAGTTTGTCGGTGAACAGGCACTGACCACAGTGCAGGCCCTGGCAGTGGACCTCTCCTGTGTAGTCCTGAACAGGGTCTGTTTTTGCTGACTGTACAAAAGGTGGGGAGTGTCCAGAGAGCAGAGCCTTGGAGCAGAGGAGATGCTTGATTACTCAGACAGCTGGGGCAGGGACTCATGGCTGCTCCCCAGGCCACTGCACAGCGGGAAGGGTGTTGTAATTAGGAATTGGCCGCCAGGGTGTTTCCCCCTCCTGTCTGAGCCATGACCCAGAATCCTGGTCCCGCTGAGCAGGGCAGCCCAAAAGAACTCCTGGCACCCCAAGAAAGTCTTGCCTAAGAACTTTTCACTCACTCCATGCAGCCCCCACCCCTGCTCTCTCTCTGCCCCCAAGGCCTGGTGGCCCTTCCCTGGGCACAGACCTGGAGGGGTCCATGGGTCCACGGGTCCATGGTCCCAGGAGAACCAAGCTTGGCATCGGGTTTGGACTGTGCCCCTCTCTCCCCCCAATCCCTGACCCAGTTGCTCCCTTGGCTCCTCCCTGTGGGCAGGGAACCGGGAAAGCCCTCCTGAGACCCTGGCTGCTGATATCTCCAGCTTACAGAGGGGCCTTCTCTGGAGCCAGCGCTGGCTTCCAGAGTTTTCTCTTGAGCTGGCCTTGAGTCTCCCGCTGGACTTGGGACCAGACCTGCCAGCCAGTCAGGCTCTGTGGGGAGCTCATTAAGGGTTCTTTTGTCACCTCGGTTCAGAAAATAGAAATTAAAACTGCTGAGAGGAGCAGGAGGAGAAAGATGCCAGCCAACGAACTCCAGTCATGAGATGACATGAGAACGAGCTGCCTTGGGTGGGCAGAGGGGCTTCCCAGCCTGAGTCACCACTGCTGCCAGGGATCCTAGCCTGTGCCCTGTCCCCTCCATCCACACCAGGGTGTCTGCATCCAGATCCCACTGAGCACCCACCACAGGCACTGCTAGGCCCGTGCTGGGGGCACAGAGCCATGACCCAGTTATCCAAGGTGATGCTTGCCAGCCGAGAGAGACAGCAAGGGCTGAGGGATAGAGAGGTGCAAACGACGGCTCTTTTACCATGCGAAGGAGGCAGAGTCTTATAGGAGACCCCACCTAGCAGTGTCCTCCAGTGGCCTGCAAAATCCAGGTGGGTGGTAGGGTCTGGGCTCGCAGAGATCCAGCACAGGGCAATCTACAGGTACCTATGCTCCCTGGAACACAAAGCCAGCTTCAGAAGGGACCTGACCTCCTGCCAGCTGCCTACTGCCCTGCCCCATAGAGTGGGAGAGGCCCCCAAGGCCACAGGTATGGCACCCTGAAGGAGGAAGGGTTCTAACCCCTCATGCCGAGGACACTATGGCCAGAGAGCCAAGACCACCCTGGGTCTAGCCAACCCTGCTGCCTCAACCTGGGGCCAGGGGATGATGGGGAAGATCCTTGCAAAGAATGCTATGACCTAAGCCTAGGGCCTGTCAGCAAGAGGACCCTGTGCCCTGTGCATGCCCAGCAAGTAGCACTAGAGAGGAACGTCTTGGGTGGTATGGCTGACAGGGGAGAAGATTCTGTTTGGGTTATGTCCTATATGGGTGTCGGGGTTGCCTGAGTGTGTTGGTGGCATCACTGCCAGAATAGCCCCTACTCCTCAGTGTGCAGGCTGAGCCCAGCGACCCCTCCCAGGTGTGTCTATTGATACTCACACATTTAAAGCTGGTGGGGGCAGTGAATGTCCCCTAATCTCACCTGCCTGTTTGACAGTTCTGGAAACCAAGGACCCGTGGACCAAGGGCCAGTTGACCAGTGGCTTGTGTGGTCAGCAAGGCCCAGCTCTCCGGCCACTGCCATACCTCCTGCTCTGAGGTTCTGGCCTTCCTCACCTTACACTGATGGCCCAGGCCCCAGGGAGGCCAGCCAGAAGCACTTGCTCTGAGAAGGGACAAGTTGCCCATCCCTGTGCTGACTGCTGTAGGTGCTCCAGATCATGAGACTTGATCCCTGATTGGGCCCCTCCTGGCAGCCTGAGGTCTGACAGCCTGGGGACCCCAGAGGAAAGGCACAGTGGGGGCACAGTGTCCTTGGAGGTCTCAGCCCTCCTTCATGGGGAATGCCCTTCTGCCTGGCATCCTTCACCACCGTGTCTCCAGGCATGAGAACCCTGACTCAAGCTCCCACCTCCTACCACCTGAATGAACAGCTGGTCTGGCCACAGGACAGCAGATAACCAGCTGTCTGTGCCTCAAGCAGGCCTCCTGGGTGCAACCATGGGCTCACTGCTTCCCATAGGCCACCATCAGCACCACAATTGAGGAGCTGAAGGCCCTCCAGGCTCAGTTTGAGGATGCCATCTCAGCCCATCAGAGGGAGGCCGCAGCTCTGAGTGAGCGTCTTCGGGACATGGCAGCCCAGCGAAGTAATACAGAGAGAGAGGTGAGGGGCCAGGACTCCAGGAGGGAGGCGGAGGGGAAGGGGAAGGTGTGGATGGATCCAGGCTCATGGTGGGAGGTGTGGACACCTCCTGGGGGTGCCAGGAGGGAGAGAGAGAGTGGGGTAGGTATTGAGAGAGAGGAGAAAGAGTTGGGCAGGTGCACCGAGAGAGATTGGGAGGTGCCAGGAGGGAAGGGAGAGTGGGGGTGCCCAGAAGAGAGAGAGGCTATACCCCAGGAGGAGGAGAGAGCAGTCTGGGGGACTCTTCAGAAGAGACAGATACAGAGGCCAAGTGGGAGGAGGGTGCCCTCACTCAATGCCCACCCCAGAGGGAGATCAAGAACTGGTAAAGTAGTGCCAGCTCCTGCCATCAGCTGAGGGAAGCAATAATGTTTTCGTGAAACGGTATCATTTTTAAGTCTTCTGAAGGGTGACTTCAGGGAAGGAAATGGACTTGACCTGAGTCAGAGTCCTGGCTAAGTGGAGGGGAGCTGCCCAGGGGCTACTCTGGGCTGTGGCAGGGGTGAGTGTAGGCCAGGGACTCGGCTCCTGCTGCCCCTGCTTTGTCCTGGGAAGGTCACAGCACAGCTGCCTGCTCTTTGCACAGTGACCTCCAAGGACATGGCCACCTCTGGAGAGTCAGCTCGTGAGAGGGTTGGCCAAAGCTGAGGACTTCCAGGGTCCTTCCAGTGTAGCCCTTTTGCTTTGTACACATTAGGAACATCCAGTCAGGGAGGGCCCACCTCAGGAGGCAGCTATGGCTCCACAGCAGGGGAATGGCCCCTGGGTAAAGGGAATAGCTTCTTCCCAAGACCTTCCTGAGAGACTGGTGTGACCTAGGGGGTGGGAAGGAGCCGGATCTTCAGCCAAGAGACCTGCCCATCCAACAAGCCATGGGAAGACCCTAGGTGAGCCAGGCTTTGTCCACATAGCATGAGGCTCCATTGGGTTGAGCACTAGGATGGATTGAGGCTGGATATGGGGTGCCTGGGACAGGGGGCAGGAGAAGAAGTGGGAGCTTTAGTAGGGTTTTCAGGATGGCCCTGAGCCTGACCAAACTCCAAGGTTGACAGGGAAGTCCCAGGGCCATATGATGGTCACATGGTGTAGGGGACAGTCAGGTAGGAGACAAGAGAGACCACTGCTGGACCAGGATGGGGCTCAGCAGTCAGGCAGACTGGAGAGATGTTTCTGAGGAGATCTGACAGGACTTGGGGATGCCTGTGTGCAGCAAAGGCAGGAGGGCACAGAGATCTGGGCTGAAGGCGGGGAAGGTCAGCCAGGGCCCTGGTGGGGCCCGCAGGGATGGTGGCCTCGTGCACTCTCTGGGCTGTGTGCCAAGGCTAGGGGTGGGTGGCTCACACAGGGCTGGAGCCAGCAGCCGGCACACACTGGTCCCAGAGGCCAGGCTGACCAGCAGGGACAGAGTGAAGAGAGGGCCTTGGCCCTCCCCAAGCACCCCCAAGGGGCAGGCTGAGAGCGCCTGAGAGAGGAAAAGAACATGATTTAACATGACGGGCTGTTTACATTGGCCCCAAAGAGAAAGGTCTCCTTTCAACAGATTTCAAAGTCAGGCCCTGTCAGCGACCACACGGGGAAGCAAAATGAGATTTCAAAACTGGGGGCAGCAGAGGGAGGAGCCAGGGAGACTGGGGGTGCATGTGTTCTGGGGAGATGAATGAAGATAGCACAGGCCTCATTGGAAGCTCAAGTTACTGGAAAGGAGGCCCTCGGGAATGGAGTGGGGGCCTCCAGAAAGGAGAAGGGCCCCCCAAAGAAGGGAAAGTTCCCCAGAAAGGAGAAAGACCCCCAAAAGGAAAGAAGGTACCCAGAAAGGAGAGAAGGGACCCCCAGAGAGAGGGGGCTCTCAGAAAAGAGAGGGAGGGTCCCCCAAAAGGATAGAGGGGCACCCCAGGAAGGAGAGAGGGGGCCCTCAGAAAGGAAAGAAAGTGCCCCAGGAAAGGGAGAAGGGGCCCCCAGAAAGGAGAGACGGGGCCCCAGGAAGGATAGAGGGGTCTCCCCAGAAGGGAGAGAGGAAGTTCCCAGAAAGGAGAGAAGGAGCTCCTAGAAATGAGAGAGGGGCAACAGGAAACTGAAGAGCTTGGGAGTGTTTAAGGGGGACAAAAGGAGCAACCACAGAGAGAGGTAGGCAGAGCCCTCCAGGCGCCATGCTGGCCCAAAGTCACCATGGAAACCATAATATGTTCACAGACTTTAAACTGGAGAAATTTCGAGGCTCTGAAAGCCCTGTCTGAGGTCCACACATATATGGATGTGAACACACACACATAAACCCACATTAGGCACTGCTCACATACGTGCAAACACACATGCATACGCATTATGCACACAGTGAGATCACACACTACTATGTAGTCTCTTGCACTCAAAGTGATGAGTGCACACTGAATGCACACACACGTGGCCCATGCAGTCATGTACCCATACAATAGCACTCATGTATGTCAGCACATATGGACACTATTCAGTATACACATGAGTGCACAAAAATGTGCACCAAACATACACATGCATGTGTGCACACACATCATGCGTGCATGTGAGCAGACATGTGCACACACGCACATGCACAGATATTTACACACCAAGCACACATGAGTGTATAATTGCACATACACATGTCTGTACACCACATGAGTGTATACGTGCACACACGTATGCACATCATGCACACACAAATGTACACTTACACATGCACACATATGTGTACAGCACACACACATACGAGCATACACTTGTCCTCACAGCAGTCCCCTCCCCTGCTTTCCCGCCACAGCCCTCCTCCCTGCAGAGCTCCCGAGCTGCCTCCCTGCAGTAGATTTCAAAAGAGGCTGTCTATACAATTTCTAGTAAAGAAATAATTATTATAATCACATTAAGCGATTTGGCTGTAAAATTCCTGTAAAAGGGATGGTTGTTCTCATGAGGCAGAGGGAGGCGGGTGGGTGGTGGGGGCAACCGGGGGGGCCTTCCCCGAGTGTGTTTTGCTTGTTTTCATCTCCTCTGCCCTGGGAAATGAAAACAGTTTCTTTTATGATGGATAGGCTCTTTCGCTGGTCCTTGACCTTCTGGGCGGATTTCTGCTGAGCTCGCGGAAAATGTTCTGCACGCCTGTGGCTCCCACATGTGGGGGTGGAGGGAAGCAGGGGGTGAAGGGGGCCTCGGGCTCTTCCCAAAAAACAGAACAACAATAACAGTGGGTGGACTAGGGAGCCAGGCCGGCCAGGGGCCTGGACAATGTCCTGAGAAAACAGCCAGCAAAGAGGGGTTTGCTTTTGGCAAGCCAGCGCCTTGACGTCGCCGAGTTTCTGTGGCTTCCCCTCTCCCCCTCCTTGGGTATGCCCCCACCGCTTCCCCTACCTCCTCCCCAGGGACACACAACAGCCGAAATGGAGGCTTCTTCAAGGTTTCTGGTCAGGGCCAAGCTCAGGCCTCACAGGCAGGAGACTGGGGGTCAAGGCTGAATCCCAGCAAGTCCCCACCCCATAACCTAGTGCTGAGGAGTAGTCTAAGGCCTGTCAGGTTGCGACTGTCTTTAGACTCCCCATCATGGGCTCTCCCCAGCGTCTTGAGATGCCTGATGTCCAGGGCAGGAAACTGAGGCTGCGGCCCTTGACACCACCACACGTCAGCCTAGAGGCTTGGCTTTTGTGTTCTCTATCACCACAAAGTCAGCAGGTCCTGCCTGGAAGCCCTCAGGTGGTGAGGAGGACATCCACGTAGGGGGGGAGAGGAGAGAAGGCACACGAGCCCTGGCTCCAGCATGATGGAGTCACTCATCCTCAGCCTGGAGCAGGCCTGGCAGGGAGGAGGACTCAAACCGATGCTCCCTTTTTCTACTCGGTCAGCCTACAGAGGTGCAGAGCAGCCTAGGATCAGTGGCTGGGCCTCCAAACCTGGGACAGGGCATAACTTCCACTGGCTCTGGAGCCTTCCCACCATGATCCTCCTGCCTCCACTGCCCTACCCCTTAGGTGAGAGGCCCACGCTTCTCTGGGTGGAGCTGATGGGCAGCCTGGCTCGAGTGGCCCCCAGTACTGCAGGAGGATTCTGAGGGCACAGGCACCAAGGCTCCCTCCCCACTGCCCCCTACACCAACAGAAGAAGGAGGTCTGAGGGAGCGGCAAGCTCACACTATGTGGTAGTCAGTGTTCTGGGGTCCAGGGAGGTAGTACAGGGCAGGGCCAGTCCCAGGAGGGAACAGGATGCATCTGTCTGGGCTCTGAGACTGGCCCTCCACTCACAGCCCTCCTAGCCTCAGCAGCGGTCGGGAGAAATGGTGCCACATGGTGGGCAACCCACCTGAGGACCCAGGGCTGGATGGGACACCAAATGCCTGCCAGACCAGAGTTGGAGCCCACTAGCCCTCTGCGTCTGTCCCCAAAGAAGCGGCCTCTATTACTTGGGTCCACAGTTCCCAGCTGGCCCCCAGAGCCACTCGCTCCTCCCCCAGGCTGAGAGGCTTCGGGCACAGTTGACTGTGGCCCAGGAGGGGCTGACCATGCTGCGCCAGGAGCTGCAGGGCATTGAGGAGAGCCGTGAGGGGCTGCACAGGGAGGCCCGGGAGGCCCGCCGGGCGCTGGGCGATGAGGCCCGCGAGAAGGACGTGCTGCAGCATTCCAACAGCGAGCTGCGGGCTGCCATCCGCAGAGCCGAACAGGAGAAGGCCAGGTATGGTGGCCACCCCAGGGAGAACCCTGTGGCCTGATACTCACCCCAGGGCATGGTGAGGATGGGCAAGGAGGCTGAGAAGGGGCATCCTATTGAGCTGAGAGGGACGGACAGTGGGGCAGAAACACCAAGGAGGCCTCCCACTGTGCAGCTGAAGGGTGCTGCCCCCTGAGAGGGAAGGCTGGGGTCACAGACAGACTCATCCCTGCCTGCAGGGAGTTCCCATCCAGCTGGCAAGACAGGCCAAAGCTGGCCTCCAGGAGACTATGGAGGGCTGGGGGCGGAGGGAGGCCAAGGGCCTGGCCGGGGGCTCCAGGAAGGTCCCCTATATGAGGGACAGCCAGACTGGACTGCAGCCCTCATAGGAGATGGCAGACCTGCCAGGCTGGCTGGACATTGGGTGTCTTGGAGCATCATGGGCAGGAGGCAGTAGGGGGTGACTGAAGAGATGAACAGTGGACAGGTGCCATGCCAGCAGGTGCTCATATCTAGGAGGAAATGTGCCTGAAAGGTGACATTAAAACTAAATCCACAGAGGTTAGCTTTGGGGACACCGTGGAAAGTCAAGACTGGGGGCACAGTGTCACTAGGGGAGGAGGAGACCTGGTGAGCAGCCATGAGGGCCTCCTCTAGAGAGGTGTTGGGACCCCTGGGTGATGTCCCTGGCTCCAACCTGTGGCACCCTCCTCAGTTTTAAGCGGTCCAAGGAGGAAAAGGAGCAGAAGCTGCTTGTCCTGGAGGAAGCCCAAGTGGTGGCGCAGCAGGAGGCCAGCGCATTGCGGACCAGCCTGCGGGAGCTGGAGCAGGCACGGGTAGATGCCCACCGGGAGCTCCAGGAGCTTCGCAGACAGGTAGGGTAGCAGGGAGGGAGTCAACATCTAACCAGGTGAGGGGACTGTGCTGGAACCTCACCCCCACAACTCACAGACACCCTCCCACTTTCGTATCCAGCTCTGCCAGGGCTGCAGCACCAGAGCTCCAAGGCCTGAACTCACCACTGCCTTTGAAGCACTCTGTGTCCAGACTTAGGGCCACACCCTGCTCACACTCACAGGGTTCTTGGTTGTGCGTGCCCCATGGGTGCAGACAACAAGAATGTTTTAGCAAGAAAGAGGAGAGCAGCTATGACTGCACACCTAAGTTACCCCAAACTTCATGGTCTAGAAAACCTTTTTGATGCTCACAAACTCTGTGGGTCAGGAATTCATCCAGGCAGGGAGGGGAGGGCGTGATTCTGCCAGGTGGAGGTGATGATGAGGAGCTGGAATCATCTGCAGATGTTGGCACGCACCCACTGCTGGGGTCGACACCCCCATATTTCCCTGGCCCAGCCACCATCCCACACTCCCTAGTCAGTGCCCACCCTGTCCGACCCGAGCCCTCCTCCTTGTCCCAGGTCCTCAAAGAGGAGGCACCAGCTGTATGAATGCAGAGTGGCTGAGGGTGACATCTCCCAGGAATGTCCTGTGGGGAGCAGGACCTGCCCTTGAACCAGAGCTGGCCCTGGCCTGAGCCTCCCTGAGGGCAGCCTGTTGCCCACAAGGGAGGATGTGTGAACAGAGGCAGAGGTCAGGAGGCTGCTTGGACTCCAGCACAGAGTTCCGGGCGACCGATCAGTGCAGTCTCCACGCCCCCAGGTGAGGACGCTGGAGGCCGAGAACCAGAGGCAGAGTCGTGAGGCCAGAGAGCTGCAGATGCGATGCACACAGGAGGCGCAGAGACGACAGCAGAGTACACAGGAGGCCCTGGAGCTGCAGGGGCAGGCGGCCCATGCAGAGGCTGCACTGGAGAGTGCCCAGAAGGAGGTGGGGGGGCTGCCTATGCTCAGAGGGCCCAGGAAGAAGTGGAGGCCAGCCCTGCTTCCTCGCTGTCCCCCACGGTGCCTGCAGTCTATCCATGTTCCCACTTCCTAACATGGCCCTGTACAGCCAGGGTCTGGGGAGAGACTCTGAGTGAACCAACCCATATCTCCCAGGGTTTCTGAGTTTTAGAAAAAGACAGAATTCTGAGCCTGGGGAGAGGCAGGTAGACCCTGAAATGATCGATTCTCAAAGAGCCTCAGGGTGCTGAGCTCACACCTGCATCCATACCTACACATGACACACTCCTGACACCCACACATGTGTGATACCATGCTCCTGACACACACACACACACACACACACACCTCCCCCAGCACCTCCACACAGCCCCTCATCAGCTCCAGGGACCCTCTGCTCTGTCTCACCCAGTCCCTCTGGTCCTGTTTGCTTAAGGGTTATGCTACACTTGGCCAGGGGGCCTCAGACACCCCATAACCTGAAGAGGCTTCCTCCAGCTTCGACTGTCCCAGCCTGCATGCCCCCCTACCCCCGTCTAAACCCAAAGTCATGCATGCAGCATCACTTTGAGTACCCACCATGCCCAGAGAACATGGGGCTCCCCTCCCACAGCACGTGACCCCAAGTGACCTGGCAGTCCCAAACCTCGCTTTGTGAATAGGGTTGTTATACTTTGGTCATCTAGGAAACGAGATGAGATGAGGCCAGGCCCTGCACCCCAACCCTGTGCCTTAAGTTCGGAGGCCTGCCTCCCCCTATTCCCAGTGACTCCCCCACTCACTTTAAGTATTTAGGGGGCAACTAAATGCTTACAGACAGGAGCACAGGCCGAAGCACAGTTGAGTCATGATAAGTATCTGCAGCGGCTGACAGGACAGCTTAGTTAGGAATGAGGGGCAAGGCTTCTGGATCAGAAAGGGGGTAGTTGGTCCACAAGAGCATCTATGAGGGGAGGGGGCTCCCGGAGGGCAGGAGGAAGGCTGGAGGTTGGAGCAAAGTGAGAGAGGGGAAGGGTAGCAGGCCAAGGGAGGTGGGAGAAGGTCTCCTCTCCCAATAATCCCCAGCAGACAAGCAAGAGACTGGCAGGGGGTGAAACCCTAGCAGGAGGGGTCATCCTGGACCTGCTTGGCCAAGTCTTCAGGGGGCTGCCCACAGGGCTACCTGCAGTCTAACATGACTGGGAGGCATCCCAAGGGTCTCCTGCAACTGCAACCTGCTGAGGGGGGTGAGGCTGAGAAGCCTGAGGGCAAGTCTTTGGAGGGCAGGCAGGTCTGGGTCAGGGATGCAAGGGTCTCCCTGTTAGTCCGGCTGTAGTACCCTTGGTCATCCAGACCCAGGTGACAAGAATTCTCCCCCCACCCCCGCCCCACATCCCTCTTGCAGATCCTGGGGCTGCAGAGGAAGTTGGCAGAGATGGAGGCCACAGGGGAGGCCCAAGGAGAGAGGCTCCAGGAGCACCTCCGCAAGAGCCAGCAGGCTGAGCAGATCCTCCGGGTCGAACTGCACAGTGTCACCAGGAAGCTGCAGCAGGCCAGCAACATGACTGACGGCCTGCAGACTCGCCTGGATGGGGCCTGTCACCGGATCCGTGGCTTGGAGCAGGAGCTGGCCCAGGCTGAGGGTACAAGGCGAGATGCAGAGGCCCAGCTGGGCCGGCTGTGCTCCGTGCTACGCCGTGGCCTGGGGCTTCGAGGACAGAGCCCTTCGGCCTCCCCCAAGAGGCCCAGCTCTCCTGTCAAAGGTTAGCATTCTCAGTGGTGGCAGATGGGCTCCTGTCCCAGCTCTATCAATGGCTTGGGGCACCCCAACCCCTCCTGGCCATCACAACCCACAAGAGGAGGGAGCTAGACCAGTCTTGGCAATTTTCAGAGACTGCAGCCGCCTCCCAAGCACCCCTCCCCTGTCACCTCCTGCAGGCTCTGCCAGCAGCCCCATCAGGCCCCACTCACCGTTCCGATGGCCCTCACCCACACCCGGAGCCCTCAGCCTGGAGCTCATGGATGTGGCCTCTGTGCAGGATGCCCTGGGGGACTTGATGCAGAAGCTCCGGGATGCACAGCGAGAGCGGGTGAGGCAGGGCTGGGGCCCTCTCTGTCCACAGCCACGCATGCCCTCGTGGCTCTGGGAGACAAGGAAGAGTACACCTTTTCCCTCATACTGCTATCCATCTGTCCCTCCATCCCTAGGTCTGAGGAGACCCTGGATAGCCCCTGTGGGTCAGTGTTGTTGTTTGTTGTGATCAATACCAGTAATACCACCATCCCCTGACTGCCTCAAGTGGCTGGGGGCCACCCCAACCTCACACCAGGCCACTAAGCTCCCAGAGCCAGATCCTGCTGCAACATCCACTGGGGTCCCAAAGAGCTGCCAACCCCTAAAGAGCTGGGAACACTGTAGGACACAACCAGCCAGGTCACCTCCAGAATGTCCCTGATGACCCCTGAAATGGAGGACCAAGCTCCACAGCAACCTCTCATATGCTCCTGGCCCCAGGGCTTTCCTAGAGCCACACGTGTGCTGTTCCCTCTCTATTTGCCAGGTGATGATGGGCACTGGGTTCTAGCAGGCAGAGCTGTGGAAAAGATAGATACAGTCATGGAGCCCTGGTCCCTGTCCTCCATGGACACCCCTTCCCTTCAGGCCCACCCTCCTGCTGATGCCAGCTCCAGGTCCTGGCCAGGGGCAGCTCCTGCAGGCCACCTTGATCCACAGACTTTGAGCCACCACATATCATTCCCCCATACTACATTTGCACCCAGAACCTGGACTCTGCCCTTTCCCCACTCAGCACCTCCCCAGGCCTGTGGGTCAGCTCAGCTGCTGGACATGGCCGCCTTTCTGACCCCAACCCTCTAGCAGACATCTCCACCCTCTGACTGCCTGCTGGGCTGACCCCAGTCCTTCTGCCCAGGATGACTCCTGTGTCCAGGTGGCAAGCCTGAACCACCAGCTGACTGAGGTGGAGAGCGAGCGTGCCCGGGCCCAGAGCCGTGCAGGGCAGCTGCAGAAGGCCTTGGTCAAGGCAGAGGAAGGTGATCTCCCTTCTCCCTCCCCACCCACTCTGGGCAGCAGCAGTGAGAGGGCACCACCATCTCTCCACTGCTGCCCACCATGACGGTGTATCATGCCAAGGGAGGGGCCTAGGAGCAATGCCCAAACCAGCATACCTCCCAGTCTGGCCAGTGCTTGCATCGGTGGGGCACTGTCATGGCTGTCACTTCCCCATGACAGGAGAATGAAGTCCAGAGACCTCTCCAGGCCCTACTAGATCCAGCCCCCAGTCCCAACCCCCACACTGGCCTCCTGCTGTTCCCACCTTGGGGCCTTTGCCCTGGTTGTGCCCTCCATCTTGTACCCTCTTCCCCAGATCACCACACCTTCATCTCCCCGGGCAAGCCCTGCCCCTTGTCATCCCTTCAGAGAAGCCCCTGCCCTTCTGTCCCCCTCCACATTGCATGAACAAGTTTATTGCCTCCCTCCATTAAAGGGTCAACCTGGGAGGTCAGGCCTAGGGTCCAGCACAGAGTCAGTGATGGAAGAAGGAAAGAAGGTAAGAGAGAAGGATAAGGATAGGCTAAGGGAGAAGTCCCTGAGTCTAGACAGGAGGAACTGAAGGGCAGCCCTGGGATCCTTGAGCTGCAAGGACAGAGAATCCTCTCTCATTCCCCAACCTGGGTACCAGTCATTCAAGCCCACTGAGCCTCAGATTCCCAGCCTGTGAACTGGGAGGGTGCGTGGGAGCCCCTCAAGATACCCTACTTGTTTCACAGGCCGACGCCGGGCAGAGGGTGCACTGAGCAGCGCCCTGGCAGCACAGGCCCTGCAGAAGGAGGCGCTCCACAGGTTGGAGACTGAGCACTTGGCCAGCATGCGGGCATCGGGCCAGGAGAAGCGACAGCTGCAGGTGGGGCATGTGGCGGGGTAGAGGCCCTGCCAAGGATGCAGGGACAGGGCCACTTGGCAATTCTTACACCCTGGAGGGAGGCCACAGGGTTAGGAGGTGCGAGGGAGGGGTCTGTGAGGGCTTCTAGTGTAGATCCAGAGAGGAGTCCGTGTTTGAGCTGGGTGGAGCCCTGGGACTGGCATGGGCCAAGCTGCAGCAGGCAGCCTCAAGGATCATCAGGACATCGACACTGGGGCCTGGGGCCATCCCTAGTGGGGAAGTCTTTGAGGTGGCCCTAGCCCTTATTTTACAGACTGGGGAAACTGAGGACTTGGCCCTGGGTCACAGCCAGCAAGGGGCAGAGCTGGGGCAGAGCCGCACCTCCAGGCCTTTCTTTCTGAGGCCACACGGGCAGGCATAGAGGTGGCCCTGGCCTGGCCTTGGGCTCTTTGTAGGGACACACTCTGCTGCTTAAGACTGCTTTTCATTCAACGACATTCAGACACAGAAGGGGACCCGTGCAGGAAAAGTTCAGGTAATATTCCTGTGCACCAGGATTTGTGCTGGGAAGGTGACTGCAGGGTCCTTGGTTTTCAGGTGAGGAACGTGAGCCTGGAGAGGGAGTGGCCAGGCCTGAGTGGATGCAGGAGCTGGCCCAGGCCTCGGTCCTCAATGCTGGTGAGGACTCCTTTGTCGATCCCAGGCCCACACATTGAAGCAGCCCCAGAAGTGTGCAGAGAGCCCATCTCCCCAGCGGGACAGGGCCAGGGGACAACTGGGTCATTTTCAGAGAGCTGCCTTGCAGACCTCAGAGGCCCAGAGAATAGCGTGCCCAGCTAAGGCTCCCGAGCAGTGGCCAACTCCAGGTGTCAGGGAACCAGGGACCCCAAACCCCATGCTGGAAGATGGAGCCAGTCACAGTGCAGAGGGGACTGAACACAGAGATGGGGTTGGGGTGTCATAGGTCACCCCTCTCCAAGTGTCCTTCCAAGGAAGGAACTCCAGATGAGCTGATATTGAGGGGGTATCTTGCAGGTGTGCTGAAGATCCTTGAGGGCAGTCGGCCTCAGGGTCAAGTGCAGTAGCCAAGCCTGGTCACCATCCCCTACCAGGCCTGCACTGGCTTCATATGGGAGAAAGTCTGAGACCCTAGCAGCCCTCAAAGTACAAAACTTTACAGAGAGCTGCCAGCACTCAGGCCAGGCAGGCAGGGACCTCGGCCTCCAGCGAACCCTGAATCTCTGAGGAGGTGGCCTCCTGCAGGAGAGAGAGGAGGGTGCAGAAATCAGAGGCCAGGCAGCAGAAAGAGCCAATTCCTCCTCAACCAGGAGCCTGTGTTGCTGGAAGAGGAGATTTGTGAGACAAAAGGGAATTTCTGCTTCAGAAAGACCCCTAGGCCTCAGCTGCTGAGGCAAGAAGGCCGGAGAGGTCTGTCAAAGGGCCCAGATGGCCTGGCCAGGGATGAGGGCAGGACTTGTGAGATGCCCAGGAGACATACAAATCTGAGAAGTCAGTGGGCTGGACTGGGCTGGACTGGGCCACGTTCCATGTATATTCACATGCAATGCATCTCATGCACATTTGGAAACGCTTCTTATTTGCAGGTTACACATTTTGAAATAGACTTTTTCTTTTTTTTCTTTTAAATACTTGGGGTGCAATTCAGGGTTAGGTACATAACTGGTCATCATACAGTTAAAGTGTGGGAGCCCTTATTGATGTTACATACCACCCACCCCCCCACCCCACTGGTAGTGTCCCACTATTGCCAATTCCTTTCTTATAGTATTATAATAATGTTCAGGGTCCACTTATGAGTAAGTACATGTACTACTCAGATCTTCGTTTCAATCAACCTTTACAAATAGTCCACATTTTATCCCGCTCCTGAATTTATCAAAGCTAAGAATGATGTGTTGAATTTTCCCACTCCAGTTCCTTCTGTCAGTGTCTCCTTTTATTTCTAAGGGACTTTGATTTCTAGATTTCCTGATGCTCTTAGAGTTTAAAGTTTCTCTGCTCTTTTTCAGTCTTCATTTCATCAGCCTGGCTCTGGTTTCAATACCACCTTAGAGTCCTTGCCTTTTCTTGGGGAATTTATCCCACTTAGAAGTTTTAGAAGTGATAATCTGTGTGCTATTTTTTCTCTGGCCACCAATTAAATAGTTGCTCCTTCTCATGCTTCCTCGCTGTTTTCTGCTTGTCCTGTCTTGTATCATAAGGATTATTTATTCTTCCCTTTTCCCTCTAGCATTTGCATGGGGGCGCCTCTAATGGTTGGGCCAGGACAGCTTCCTGCAGCCCTCAGGGGTAGAGGGTCTTGTCCCTACCCCCTCCAGAGGCACCTCTTCCACCTGTGCCCAGGGCCCCAAGGCTTTTGCTCCTTCAGAGAATTCCCAGCTCTGGGCAACCCCCTCCCTTCTCAAGGGAACTCTGGGTTCTTTCACCCACTCCCCATCTTTCCCTAAGTGCCAGTGGGGGTGTGTAGAGAAAAGCCTGCCTATGGGTCTGAACTTCCCCTTGTGTCTGTGGACCCCTGCACTTTCTCTTCACAGCAGCCCATGCTGGGTGTACTAGGTTTCCAAGCAAATTACTGATGACTTATACAAACCAATGACTTAAAACAACCCCATGTTTGACCTCCCCCGCCCCAGTGCCACAGGTCAGAGCCCAGCATGACATGGCTAGGTTCTCCCTCCAGGGCCTCATACTCATGGGGTGGGCTGGGCCACATACTCACCTGAGGCCCTGGGAAGAATCCCTTTCCAGGCTCATCCAGGGTATTGGCAGAGTTCATTTCCTTACAGTTGTTGGGCTGAGGTCTCTTTCCTGGCTCTTGACTAAGAGCTCCCCACTCCTGGCCTGGGCCTTCTCACAGTGTGATATGCCGAATCCCCACACACCTCAAACCTCACTGCTTCCCTACTGCCACCACCTAAAGGGCCCACCTGGTTAGATCAGGCCCACCTAGGTAAGCTCCCTTTGGTTAACTCAGAATGAACTAAGTAGCAGCTTTAAGCTTGTCCCCAAAATCTCTTTGACATGTCATCTGACATAATCATAGGATAACACCAGAGGCCAAATGTCATGGGGCTCTCAGAGAACTCTGCCCGCCACACCAGGTTTTCGCAGTTTATTAAAAGTTTCAGCTGATTTCTGCATGCCACTGGTCTGATGCAGATGAAGCAGGCTCCATCCTGTCTCTCCTCGGAAGGGCTTATTTCTCCTTAGATTTCAGGCTTTTTGTTTGCTTCTGACCTTGAGCTAAGATGGGCTCAAGAAATGTGAGGATTTTGTAGGATCTTTGAATCTTTCTCATCAGTGCTCTTTCCAGAATTGGGGCCAGAGTTCCACTTGTCCTTGAAATTCAAAAATGTCGCCAAAACATTGATTTGATGTTGATTTCCTTTCATTATTTTTGCCTGTCCCTGATGAACCCTCACCACTTGCAGAATCAAATCTACCTTCTGTTGATGAAGCTAATTCCACTTTTAACAAACATCTCTTCTCCTTCTCCCTCTTCTCTGTTCTTTTGTCCTTTAATTCTCAGTTGACACCTAGTACTGACACACCAGGCCTGTCCTCCTGGCTTCAATTTTGTATTTCTCCTCCTTGTCACAGTTTTCCCCAAGTCTGAGGAGAATGTCTTACTCCTGCTTAGCCAATCTGATTATCTGCTGCATCTAATCTGCTTTTCCTTGCCTCCATGGCATTTGTTGTGGCCTGTATTTTTATCTCGGATTGTCCACTCTCAATCACCTGCCCTGGTCTCCCCTTGAGTATGTCAGTTACCACTTTCTGATGCATAGTACTATTCTGGCAATAACTCTTTCTCCTTTTAATTAGAGACCCTCATATCTGGTTCCTTGGATGGACTTTGTTCTCTCGAGCACCAAGGGATTGCTACTTCTTTTGTGATTTTTTAATGTTTCCTTTGCATATCTTTAAAGAAAAGAGTTTTGGTCTTGCTCAAACTTGGGAATGGAGAGGAGCCCATTGGGGACTTCATGCATTCCCATCCAAATATTTCAAGCCCAAAGGAAAGTCAGAGAAAAATGTTCCAAGATCCTGCAACTGTGGGGAACATTGGGGAGCATAGGGGATCAGCAGTCTGGAGTGCTGTCCCCTGTCAGAGCTTTTCTGTTCTAGAAACAGGGAGGGCCACGGTCGCAACTCTCTGGTACACTGTTATGGTGGTGCCCTCAGCCTTCCCGGCCACTTGCAGGCCAGCAACCAAGGGCTTCCTGGTCCCTTGCCCCATGTAACACTCTTCCCTAAGGCCCTGGTGGGATACAGCTGGCCCCCATATCCCTGCAGCCTCCCTCCAGCCCTCACCCTTATAAGCTAGGATATAAGAGTACTGGGGGATTCCACTTTGGATCTCCACACATGAATACAAAGGGCTTTTCTGTGTGTCATTCCGATCTTCTCTATCCATATTAATTATTCTCCTTGATCTAGAATGTACTCAATTTTTTTACTGAAGCATGCTAAAATCTATCAATATTGTGTCCACTTTTTCTCATAAGTCTGGCAATTGCCATTTCTTCCATTTTTAGGCCAAGTTGGTTACATCTGCCCTCAGGAACCCTCAGAGTCCCTGGTGTTCAGCTCTGAGGAAAGTTTTTCCCAACATTTTGTAATCTGTTGGGCACCATAGTGGGTGTCTGGGAGTGGGATTCAGACACACCTAAGTCCCCCCCTCCCCAGGGGCCCCCACTTTTGACAAACAGCAAACCCAGGCAGAGAGTTCAGGGCCAAAGTGTTTCCAGTCAGCCAGGGGGCTGGGAATCCAGCCACACTCCCTGCTGCCCTGTGCCCCTCGCCAAGCCAGGTCGGATTGCTGGGACCAAGCAGGGCAGGGCTGGCGCCTTTCCTGGCCCTGCCAAGCCCCGAGAGTATTCTAGAGCAAGCTCTGAATTTGACACAACTTCTTTCACTTTCATGGATTGGTTCCCCCTGCCCCCCAGTACCACATAAGCCAATGTGTTTGTTGAGAGAAAGTTAATTAAAAACATATT